TGAAGGACGTCCTTGTTGAATTGCAATAGAATCAAACTACAATGAGTTAAATTGACAAAATTAAAAAGATTTTCCGCCATTTTGCAACCCCCCCCCCCCCCCCCCCCTCCCACTCCACCCGCTCCCACCCCCCCCCCCTCCCTCATCTCGCAATACAAAAGTCAGTCAATTTTGTAGTTGAATTTATTAAAACAGCCAATTTAACCCCCACTGTTAAATTTTTCGAATTTCATTCACTTTTCTGTCCAAAAAGTCACATGACTTATTAGTTGATTTATTATTATTATTATTATTAAAAATTAAAATATTTAGAAAACAGAAAGAAAAAAAAATAGGAACCCATCAAAAATAGAAAGGAAAAAAAAAAGAAAAAAAAGAAGGGAACCCAGCCACCGCCACGCACCATCCCCATCTCCCCTTGCTACCATCCCCACCCAACCCCAGCCGCCACCCCCTCTATTCCCTTATTCCTCCCCAAAACTCCATTTCAGAATATCAGTAGCAAATGGGTTCATCGAATAGTAAAATAATCTTAGAAATTCCCAACAACCAAAAATTGCGAAGTCATCTTTTTCTTTGCTCTTCAACCCCAAATTCATGAAGAACCTCACACTGCAAACAAAACCCAGATCATAAAAATCAAGAAAAAACAAACAAAACTAAAGAAATCAAACTCATAGGGCAATAAATCAACTAAAACAAGAAACTTTTCAAGAACGAATTGCTTACATATCCAACGTTGTGGATGTAGGCCTTGATTGCATTCTCTGGAGACAAAATCAACTTCATTTCCGTCCAACCCACTTGCTGCTGATATTAGGAAATAGAGTTTTGGGGAGGAAGAAGGGAAGAGAGGGGGTGGTGGCTGGGGTTAGGTGGCGATGGTGAGCATGGGGCTGTGGGTTTTTTTATTAAAAAATAATAATTATAAATTATAAGCTTTTCTCTATTTTATTATGATTTGTTTCTTTTCGTTTTATGCATTTAACTTTTATTTTATTTGAAAATACAAATATACCCTTAGTATTAACGAAGAATTGGATGAAATCATCTAAAATCTAACAGTAGGTATTAAATTGGCAATTTCAATTAATTCAGGTGCTAAATTGGTTGATTAATTCGGAGAGTGTGTTCATGTTTAGTTCTGGAGCAGTGTCATGGTCATCCAAAAAACAGTCTGTGGTTCGCTTATCCACCATTAAAGCAGAGTATATCGTTGTTGCCTCATGCTCTTGTTAGTGTGTTTGGTTAAGGAGAGTTTTAGAGAAGCTTGGTTATGTACAGGAGAAATGCACTACAATTTTGTGTGATAACAGTTCAACTATAAAACTCTCCAAGAATCCTGTTCTTCACGGCAGAAGCAAGCACATTGACATCAGGTTTCATTTTCTTCGTGACCTGGTAAAAGATGGTGTGATTGATTTGAGTCATTGTAATACTCAAGACCAGGTAGCTGACATTATGACGAAGCCACTCAGGTTGGAGGTGTTTTTGAAGCTTCGTAGTTTGCTGGGCGTGTGTGAAGTTCTAAATATTAAATGAATGTATTCTGCATACAGTTTAAGGGAGGGAATGATAAGACTGTTAGAGTTAACAATTTATTATTCAGATCTTTTAGTTAATCAATCTGTTAATAAGTCATATCTTTTAGGGACTAGTTGTTTGTGTTTTTAACAAATTCCTATTAGTCTGTTACCACTTTTGAGGGTGTTGCAAATGTGGGCTGTTATTTTGATTTTATCTATTTGTAAAAGATTTTATAAGCCTGCATTTTGTTATCAATGAGAAGAAGAACTTTTCATTCAGGGTTGTGCCCTATAGTTTCTTCCCAGTGTTCTCAACATATACAACATGGCAAAACTTTTTTGTCCAATCGATGTTTTGGGAAAGATTTTGACATTGCCCTTTTTGGTGGTCCAAGATTTTCCACGTCAGATTGTGATACTTTCACTCATATATTGACACGTGTCTTTTTATCCTCCACTAATTAAATTATTAGTGGATATGAACTTGTACTTAACTTTCAATTAACCCCCTGTCTTTTTTTTTTAATTATAGAAAATTAAGGATATGAATTTTTTTTTTCTTCAATTTCCCCCTTACCGTCTAAATCCTCAACATTTCATTTAATTTTCAGTTAAATTATTTTAAAAAATTAAAGAAAAAGATGAAAATTCCCCAAACAAAAAACAAAAAACAAAAAAAAAGAGACACTGAACCAGCAACCCTGGCTCCATCTCCTCCAGCGCATCAACCGCATCACAACACAGCCAAAGTACCCTAAAACCCAGCCCCAAAAAAAAAAAAAAAAAAAGTCCCCAAATTGAATGAGTCTTTGTTTGAGAAAGGCATGAAAGTACTGATATGGACAACTAGTCTTAATTTGCATCTCAGTCAACCTGCTTGAACCTACTGGCTGTGAAGGGTGCGAACAGAGAGTCCCCCGGTGCAAACGCAAGGCAATTGGCCAGAATCGTAGCCGGTGCGGTCCTGGCAGGGGAGGTTTCTCTTTTGGCAGCCATTGATACTGACCAGCTTATGACCAGCCACATGAAAAACAACAGATGTAACAGGGATGTCACACCTTGCCTCCACTGAATAGACTAAACCAACCCCATTGAATCTTGACCACAGGGGCCTACTAAAAAGGAAATTGAGGGAAAAAACAAGCAGAATCAAATAAGCTCACCAAGGGACACTGTTGGTTGGTGGTGTTGGAGGAAGAACATGGTGGGTTCCTGATGTCACATAGGTAAGGAATAAAAACGAAAGGAAAATTAGGCCTCTGTGGTTAGTGGTTTCCAAAAGATTGTCTTTAAAATGCCTGCAATTATGAATTGTTGGGGAAGGGGTTTATGAGAGCAACTTCTGCTCTTTTATCTTCTTTTGTGTTTGTCTTCATGCTGCCACTTCTACTGACCAAGAGGTCTTGGCTCTTAGTTTGGCTGTAATCTTTGATTTGTTTGTTAATCTACTGATCAATAATTGGAAATGGAAGCAACAGAGCCACTAACCCAGCTGCCGACGACGAAGATCAAGACCCATCGTGCCTAGACCCCAAGAGGGCTGCCACTGCAGACGCCGACAACCGCCTCCGCGGGTGGCACCACTCCCGCATAATCCGCGTCTCGAGGGCCTCCGGCGGCAAAGATCGGCACAACAAGGTGTGCAATCTAAGAGAAAGCGCCATTCTTGATAGTTTTTGTTTGCGCACAGAGAGAGAGAGAGAGAGAGAGAGAGAGAGAGAGAGTATTTCTGTTTTTAATTTTATTTTTAATGTAGAAAATGACCATTTTGCTCATATTTTTAACAGCAAATTGAATAAAATGTTGTGGACTTAGATAAGGGGGGAAATTGGCGAAAATAAATAGGTTCATATTCTTAATTTTCTATAATGCTAGGCTTACCACATTTTTCATACCACAATTGTACCACCTCTCTAATAGAGGTGGAGCCCACCAATACAATGAGGCTCACCTCTATTAGAGACTATTAGAGAGGTGGTACAATTGTGGTATGAAAAATGTGGTAAACCTAGCATTTTCCAATAAAAAAAGGATAGAGGGTTAGTTGAAAATTATGTACAAATTCAGGAAGCAAATCACTAGTATACTATCTAATAAAATATTGAAAGTAATCTAACTTCACACAATTCTATGCGTTAGTAAAATATTGAAAGTAATGTAACTTCACACAATTCTATGCGTTTACTTTTTTATATTAATATAAGCGATTATTTTACACACTACCAAAATACTATAATTATTAAACATAAAACTCTTGATATGCAAATCAAAATCATTTTCACTAAGCAAAGCCCCATTCGAAGCTATGCATTATTTACCTATAAGTTCTATAAATTTACTAAAAGGGTATCGCATGTGACAAAACAAGGCTGGGCTCCCTTCGATCAAGGGCCTTAACAGCCAGGGACGGATCCATATAGTGGGCTGTCTGGGCTACAGCCCATACGAATATTTTTTTGTATTTGTAATACCATATAGTATTCTTAAGATTAAAAAAAAAACTTAATGGAGATAGCCCATCCCAAAGCTGCAAGAAGAAAGTTCAGAGAGATGGAGCAGACGGAGAGAGAAGAAAGAAAAGAAGAAGAGAGGAAGAAGGAAAAAGAATAAAGAAAAAGGAAGAGGGAGAGAGAGAAAGATAGGAAAAAAGAATTAAAAAAAAGAGAGAGGTGGGGAGATATGTGTTGGGATGAGATGTGTTTTTATTTTGTTAGATGCACTGCCCCACAAAATGGGATTTTTTTATTTTATTATTACTTTATTTTTTAACTTCAATTCCTTATAAATATCTTTTTTTTCTTTCTTTGTTTCCCTTCAATCCCTTCCAAATATTTCAACAATATTATCAATAATTCCAATATTTTCTCTATTTCAAATGTTGTATAATCACAAAAAGTTCAAAATATGATGAAGAAAATATACTGAAAAAAGAGTGCTTATATAAAATAAAAATACAACAAATTATGGCTTATGATTTACCCCAAAAAAAATTTAGCCACCCATGTGAATTACTTCTAGTTTTTAGTTCCTAAAATCTATTGTCCAAGCCTAAAAATCTACAAAAACCAACCAAAATCTACAAAACTCATTTTCTTAATACATTTGCACTTAAGGTAAATTTAGCCCACCCGATTTACAATTCCTGGATCCGTCCCTGTTAACAGCGATGTGGAGGATGGGGTAGCTTCTCCCACAATATTGGGTGATCCAAGAGCATGGCGCACATATAAATTATTATCATTGCTTTGCATAATCGAATCAAATCCTTTTCATTTCGTATAGTTGTGTATTATTTAATTAAGTCGGTTACAAGAGGAAATCGCTTGTGCATCCAAAACTTGAATATTTTGTCCCTTGCTCAGTGCCATGGCTGTGTGACCTTCACAACTAACCTCTGCCACAAATTTTATATCGGAAGCTTCAACAATTGTGGGCCTACAACCCAGACAATTTCTATATTAAAGATCAAAAACAAGGACTCAGATTTCAAGTGGGGCAACCAAAACCAGAAGCCAAAAAGCAGAGCAATGGCTCTGATATCACTTTTGAATCAAACATGGCAACAGCTCCAGAGCAATCTTTTCCTGCTTCCCATTCTCTTCCTCTCTCTCTACATTTTGCTTTCACTTGTTAGATCAAGTGGGAAACCACTCAACCTACCACCTTCCCCACCAAAGCTGCCTATAATCGGAAACCTCCACCAGCTAGGTGCCTTCCCGCACCGCTCCCTTCGTGCTCTCTCGAAGAAGTATGGCCCTCTGATGTTTCTGAACTTGGGCAATGTCCCTGCTCTGGTTGTTTCATCTGCAGACATGGCCAGGGAGGTCATGAAGACTCATGACACTGTCTTTTCTAGCCGACCACAAACCACTGCTCCTGGTATCTTGTTCTATGAAGGCCATGACGTGGCCTTTGCGCCTTATGGAGATTACTGGAGGAAAGTTCGGAAGATTTGTGTTCTTGAGCTGCTGAGTCTTAAAAGAGTGCAGCAGTTTCAGTATGCTAGGGTGGAAGAAGTTGCAGAGATGGTTGCCAAGATTCGAAAAGCGTGTGGCGCGGAGTCTCCCATTAATCTCAGTGACACGCTGATCTCCACCTCCAACAACATTGTTTGTAGGTCTATTCTCGGACGGAAGTTTGATGATGCAGATGATAGTTGGTTTGGGGACACGGCGAAAGATTTGATGGTGAAAGTAATGAGCTTCAGCTTTGGAGATTTCTTCCCTGCTTTGAGATGGCTTGACCATGTTAGAGGCTACATTGCAGGTTTGAAAGCGATTTTTTTGCGATTCGATAGGTTCTATGATCAGTTGATTGATGAACACAAGACAGCAAATGGGGAAGGGAAGGCTACTAAGAAGGATTTTGTGGATATTCTCCTCCAAGTTCAAAATGATGGCTCGCTTGACTTTGATTTCACAAAAGAGGACCTCAAAGCACTTCTGCAGGTCTGTATAAATCTATATAACCCTATATATGTGTGTCTGTGTGTGTGTGTGTGGCTGAAAATCAATTTGGTTTTTTGGTTTTTATGATTTCAGGACATGTTTGTGGGTGGAAGCGATACTAGTTCGACGTCGATGGTATGGCTAGTGGCAGAGCTTGTGAGAAACCCAAGAGTGATGAAGAAAGTCCAAGAAGAAGTAAGAAGAGTTGTGGGGGAAAAGGGAAAGGTAGAAGAGAGTGACCTCAACCAAATGAAGTACATGAAATGTGTCATCAAAGAAAGTTTCAGATTGCATCCTCCAGCTCCTCTTTTAATTCCTCGTGAAGCAACTGCAGATGTGAAATTGGGAGGCTACGACATCCCGGCGAAAACAAGAGTGTTCGTCAGTGCATTTGCCATACAAAGGGACCCCAAAATCTGGGACAAGCCAGAGGAGTTTATCCCGGAGAGGTTCGAGGACAGCTCCATTGATTTCAAAGGCCAGGACTTTGAGCTCCTCCCATTTGGTGCTGGGAGAAGGGGGTGCCCTGGAATTGCCTTTGGGATTGTTTCAGCTGAGCAGGTGCTTGCCAACATTCTCTACTGGTTTGATTGGAAAGTGCCTGAAACTAGTGGCAATGCATTGCCTGAGGCCTTGGACATGAGTGAAGTTTACGGGCTCACAGTCCGAAAGAAAGCTCCTCTTAATCTTGTGCCAGTGCCCTACTTCCCCTGATCCCTCCATCCAGGAGCCTTCATGCTTTGCTTTGTTGTGTGTTTTTTTTTTTATCAAACAGTTCTTTGTTTTTGTTGTAGAAGAAATTGCATCTGGATTAATAATATGGTCAAGTATCAATTCTACCTGAAACATTTTGATTGATAATGAGGGAATAAACCCTAGAAATTGTACCAGCTGCTTTCTTACCTAGACTTTTTGAGGCATTTTAACAAAGACTTCTCCCATTCTCCATTGCAATGTTTAGCTTCAAATTCCCATTTAATGTGAACTTATCTAATGGATTGCGAATAATTTATATACAAATAGGAGTGAACCCGTCTATCTAACCGCTACAAACGCGTTCCCATTAAATGAGAATTTGCATGGTGCCAAAATCACTTGTATGATTCTCTCAAGAAAAAATGACCGGCAGAGACTGCGGTATGCGGCAGCCTACATGGAGTCCACCACCCATTGTGAGAGAGAGGCTATTGATATGTACCTATGGGGAATGTGTAGCATATGTACCTATTGATTTTCTCATATCCTTTTTTACTGCTATATATTTATCTTTTGTAATACTTGATATGCGCTGTAATTTTTCCCTTGTCATGCCCCATTAGGACAAACCTATTCATATTTGATGCCAGACAATCTACTCCTTGTTTCTCAGAATTACATTAAAGCCCCTGATTATATGAAGGGTTTTTTGTTCTTTTCGTTTTCCTATGTTCCTTCTTGTCTTCTATTTTGTTTTGGAATTACGTGCGGTTGCCTTTGTTTTTGGATTTTTGCTCTTTTTCAGAAGAATATATTTTCTTTTTGTTCTAACCTACAAGCCAATCTATGCAAATGGACAACTCCGTATTTACAAAGTCAAAGCGTGGAACGTTCGTTGAGCTTCTGATCATGCTTTCTTTTTTTTATTTTATGAAAAAGTTTAGGGGAGGGAGAGGAGCTTCTGATCGTGCTTTCCCACCTACTAGTACTACAACAATGCAAATATTAAAAGATATATTATAATATACAAGGAAGCACGGGCGAACCCACGTGCAATAATGCAGGAAAACATTATAAAAGCATGCCTAAAACATGAAGAACATGTGCAGAAGGTGCTTTTGATCTGCTTCTTGCATGCTTTAGGTTTGGAGATTGAGAATTTTTCTCTAAAGTTTTAGCTTCCCTTGCCTTTTTGCTTCTGTTGCAGGCAAAGCAGGCAAGTTGTGCACATGAGATGGCTCTAAGTGCAGCATGTTTTGTAGGGGGCTTCAGTGTGAATCATATGTGGCCGTATTTTAATGGATTTTTTTTTTATCATACGATTCATGAAAAAGAATTAACATTGGGGTCCAAATCAGAGCCAACTGCTACATGCATGACTTTTTTTTTTTTGGGCTGGCAAAATCTGGGGAACTGTTCTATAAAAAGAAGTGAGATTTCCAAGTGTCCAGCCAAACCCAACAACACAACACAACATTGCAGCAGCAGCAGCAATGGCTCTTCTAACACTTTTCAATCAAATTTGGCAAGAAGGGCAGCTGCAGAGCAGCACCAGTTCCTTCAACATTTTCCTGGTTCCTATTCTCTGCCTTTCAATATTCATCTTGTTTTCACTTACTAGATCATCCTCACCAAGTGAGAAAAACCGGAAACTCAAATTGCCACCTTCCCCACCAAGGCTGCCTTGGATTGGAAACCTTCACCAGCTAGGCTCATTCCCACACCGCTCTCTTCGAGCTCTGTCGAAGAAGTATGGCGATGTAATGTTCATGCACTTTGGCAAAGTTCCAACTCTGATAGTTTCATCTGCAGAGATGGCCAAGGACGTGATGAAGACCCAAGACATTGTGTTCTGCAGCAGGCCTCAAACTACTGCTCCAAGCATATTGTTCTACGACGGCCATGACATTGCGTTTGCTCCTTACGGGGAGTACTGGAGACAAGTTCGAAGAATTTGTGTTCTTGAGCTTCTGAGTCTCAAAAGAGTGCACCAGTTTCAGTACGCAAGGGTGGAGGAAGTTGCAGAGTTGGTCAGCAAGATTCGCAAAGCCTCCGCCAGCGCAAACGGTGCTCCCATTAATCTTGGGGAGCTGCTGGTGTCAACCTCCAACAACATTATCTGCAGGTGCATTCTTGGACAGAAGTTTGAGGACAAAGAAGACAATTGGTTTGGAGAGACCACAAAGGAGTTGATGACTCAGGTGATGAGTTTCAGCTTTGGAGATTTCTTCCCTTCTTTGAAATGGATTGACCGTGCCAGAGGCTACCTTGCATATTTGAAATCAATTTGGTTAGAATTTGATAAATTTTTCGATAAGTTGATTGACGAACATAAGGCAGCACAGAAAGAAGGTAAGCCTCGTAAAAAGGATATTGTGGATATTCTCCTCGACGTTCAAAAGGACGGCTCACTCGACTTTGAGCTCACTACCTCCAATGTCAAAGCAATTCTGCAGGTATGTATATCCTCCCTAGCTTTAGTCACATGCTACTCGCTTACTTTCGTTCAAACACGCACGCGTACACACACGCGCACATTAATAAATCAATAATATTTTTTGTATTTATTGATTACATTGCTGACAACCCTTTTAATAGAGGTGAGCCCCACAAATTTATGTGAGATCCACATGTATTAGAGAGGTAGTTGGCACTGTGATTAGTAAATGTCCAAATAACAACACTCTTTTTTATTTTTTATAAATATATATAGCTGAAGATTGATTTGGCTTGTTTATTTTATGATTTTAGGACATGTTTGTGGGTGGAAGTGATACTAGCTGGACAGCAGCGATTTGGTTAATGTCTGAGCTTTCGCAAAATCCACGGGTGATGAAGAAAGTCCAAGAAGAGGTAAGAAGAGTGGCGGGGAAAAGGGGATATGTAGAGGAGAGTGACATCAACGAAATGAAATACCTGACATGTGTGATCAAAGAAAATTTGAGACTTCACCCTCCAGCTCCTCTTTTACTTCCTCGGGAAGCAATGTCTGATGTAAAATTGGGAGGTTTCGACATCCCTGCGAAGACACAAGTGTTTGTGAATGCATATGCAGTACAAAGAGACCCCAAAGTCTGGGACAAGCCAGATGAGTTTATGCCAGAGAGGTTTGAGGAGAACAACGTTGGTTTTGTAGGTCAGGATTTTGAACTCATCCCATTTGGTGCTGGGAGAAGGGTGTGCCCTGGACTTGCCTTTGGGGTTGCTTCAGCACAATATGTGCTTGCCAATATGCTATATTGGTTCGACTGGAAGTTGCCTAGTGGTGGCAGTAAATTGGCTGAGACCTTGGACATGTCCGAAGTTTACGGTCTCACAGTCCATAAGAAAAGTCCTCTTTATCTTGTTCCAACACCATACTCCCCTTGATCCCTCCATCATCCAGAGTTTTCATGGCTTTTACTTATGCTCTTAAATCTGGTTTTTATTTATATTTTTGATGAACATGGTTGTATCTGCAATACCTGCAGCAACGTAAATTTTTATAATAACAGATATAGAGTGGTATATGTAATGCCTCTCTGAGATGTTTTAATCTTCTTTGGAAATTATGAAATGCATTTAATTATAGTATCTCTTGAACATCTCAAGATAAAATGGATATGGTGAAATGGAAGGAGAGATGAAGCAGTACCAAAAATAGTTCAAGAAGAGTACCAACCAACCACACCTAACTAAAAACCCAATTAACTGGTAGCAGATATGGCTAAGCTAAGGTAAGTTTCAATTAGTAGAATAAGCATAGCAATTAGTACTTAACTTTCCTTGAACCTTTGTTAGCCCAAGTCAAAATCATTAAGGATCAAAATAAACTTCAGTTGAATGACCCATTCAAGAGAATATTATAGGCTTTTATGTTCCTTAATTCTACATCATTCTTGCTTCTATACACCGATGACCGGGGGCATAGTTTTTACATAATATCAGACAGTCAGAATGGAATTTACTGCCAATGGTTATTATTCTTGGACTGAATTGTTCTTTTTGGACATTTTAACTTGGACACGATGTAAGTTTTGGGATTGACAGTGATCTATTGGTCCCATGAGTTTAATTAATTCTATGCAGGCGTTTTAAGCATTTGTATATTCATATAAACAGCACAAGTACCTCTAATAGCTGTTTAAAGGTTAAAATTGTTTACTTTATACATCAAAGGCTGCTGTTATAAATGACTGAGGTGCAGAGCTGTGTGGTTAATTTCAAATTCTTAATCACAAGTAGAGGAAATGGGTGTATTAGTACCACATTTGCACCAAGTCTGGCTAGAGCTACAAAGAAACTTAACCATCGACACCTTCCTCTTCTTTGCTCTTCTCTTTTCATTTTTTGCTTTTCTCACAATCACTAAATCAAGGGGCAAACTTAACTTAACACCATCCCCACCAAAGCTTCCGATAAATGGGAACCTTCACCAGTTAGGCACATTACCACACCGCTCTCTTCGAGCTGTCTCCGAAAAATATGGTCCTCTCCCGCTCATGCACTTAGGCCTTGCTCCAACTGTTGTGGTTTCATCTGCAGAATTTGCCGAAGAAATTATGAGGACTCATGACATTGTTTTCTCCAACCTGATCAAAACCACAGCTGAAGATATTTTGTACTTTGGATGCAAAGACATTGGTTTTGCTCCCTATGGTGACTACTGGAGACAAGTTAGGAAACTATGTGTTCTTGAACTTTTGAGCCATAAGGGAGTACAAACATTTCAGTTTATGAGGGAAGAAGAAGTTGCAATTTTGGTCAGTAAGATTCGCAGAGCAAGTTTGTCCGGGGCTTATGTCAATCTAAGTGAGATGCTGGTTGCTAACCTATTGTACTGGTTTGATTGGAAGCTCCCTTGTGAGGGTGCCATGGGGAGAGACTTGTGTATGAGTGAAGTCAATGGCCTAACTGTTCATAAGAAAATCCCTCTTCACCTTGTTCCAATACCATACTCTTCGATTCATCACTTGAGAGATTGTTGATGATTATGTTAAAGTATCAACACTAGCCCAATAATTGAACAGCCCAAGGAGGATAAAGAACCCATGCCAAGCCCAATATTGAAGAGAAAATATCTACAGAATTCTAGAGTTGCATGTCGGTTAGTATAGTCCAGAAAAGTTAGATGTCTACAAATATTTAAGAAGAAGAGAGTCAAAGTCGGTTAAGCAAGTCGGCAGCCAAATTGAAGCTTGGGGAATTTTCTGGAAGATAAACAAATATGTGGCTATTGTATAATAGCCAAGACAGAGGGATGGAGAGCAATGTCGGCTAGGAATTTTTATAAATAGGCATGAAGCCATGCATTGTGTAACTGAATCTTCTAGAGTTTGTCTTTAGAAGAAGTGAGAGAGTGATTGTAAGAGTTGGTATTTTCTTTGAGAGTTGTCACGTTGTAATATTTTGTGAGTCTAATACAAGAAATTTGTTTACTTGTTTTGTCTCCAACAATTCTATATTAGAGTTGTGTACTCTAATTTTCTCAACAGATTATTGGTTAGGCATTGAGCAAAGCAATGTTAAAGAAACTAAAGAGAGTTGCAGGTTCTGTATATATGTATATATAAATTACAATGTAAGGATTTTAATCCCGATTTGGTATATCAAATATATTGAACAAAGAAAAAGCCTAAAAGCCTCACGAGGAACTTCTGCTTCCTGTGATTTATTGGGAAGAAAACTGATTGTATATCAGCCTCCACCAGTCCACCAGATCAAGGATATTGCAGCAGATTAATCAAGAACCCCCTCCCTAATCAAGAAGATTCTGACTGTTGAAAATCAATGTAGTCTAGGGTTTAGGGTCTGCACTTGTTTAGCAAAATAAGGAGAAGGAGTTCCTTAATTAAAGTCAGTAGAAAAGGATTCCTTAACACAATCAGGTAAGGAGAAGGATGAACACATGCTGAAGAGATTCCAGATGGCAGTGACAAATCGGACAAGCTGAATTATTTGTCATTTTCCTTCTTGTTCTCTGCATATTGGTTAGAATTTTATTTTGGGTTAACAGCCGCAGAAACACTTTTAATTTGGAGGAATCTTAAGCTTCCAAATAAAATTCCAACTATCATCATCCCCTTGAGACAAGCTGCAACAAATATTATAAGCAGATCTAACTGTGAATTCCCCCTTGGAACTAGGACCCCAAACAAGTGAGTCCGGTAATGTACAATCAAGTCAGCAGGCGTGCTAATAATTTTTTGGACAACCTCAACATGTAAGACTTAAAGGAGTTTGGGAATATTCCAACCAGATTGAGTAAAATAATTGACAACCACTTCATCAATATCAATTTTTGACTGGGAGGTGGTATTTTAATTCCCGAACAAGTAACTCATTAAGAATTCATCTTTTTTACCTATTATATCCTCACACAATTTTAAAATTTTAAAATTTACCATCTACTTTAATTCAACAATAAGGACATTTTAGTAATTAGCACCACTTCTACCTCAATTACATATTGTTTAGTAAACAACTTCAATAGAGATTTGGAATTTAATTCTCCTCGATTCAATTCCTCATAATCCAATTACGGATTAGTAAACATGTCATAAGAGGGAAGAAGAAACCAAATCTACCTACCTCCACTGCATTTGTAATGTTAATCTTTCGAATGTAAGTGTAACATTGCCACCTGATTATTTATAATTAAAAAAATAATCGCGACAACGTATTATAATTTGAGTGAATTTATCTCCCACACTTTTGCAAAGTTAAAATTTCCTTTTATAGCTCTAATATTGCACCGTGATTATTTATTCATTATAATACGTGGACACGAATTGATAATACCACGTAACAATGTTAAAGTCAGACACGAAATTACATGTTCAAACTTGTAGTGCGGCCATGACCTCGTTATTTAAATAGAAGGGGTAAGAAAATAAGAGGAAATTGAATTCATGTAGGTCATGAGGAGAATTTCAGTACTACATCATCAACTTTTCTTCTTCGACCTTTATAGGCTGCCCATACACTGCACTTTCCTTGTCTTACATGCGCATGAGCCTAGAAATTGCATAGAAGCCACACAATCTTATCACTAGTGGAAATAGGAAAATGTCATAAAGAACATTGACATCTAAAATGTTTGGTGGAAATGATTCAAAAGATTTGGTGGTCAATGATAGCAAGAGTTGCATCATTTACACGACGACAATTGTGAAAAGAAAACTGCCCCACCCTTATTTCTTTCAATTTCAATCTCTCATTTTATATGGTTGTAGATTTCCCTTGAATAGAAGAGTTAGTGTACCCCAAACATACACATGTTAGTGATTCCCATCCATTGATTGGTATCATGGACTCAGTACTAGGTTCCACGCAATCAACTTTTGGCCGAGAGTAATTTTACAAGGGGAATGCTAGCAACCTTCTCTCTAACCTTCTCCTTTGGACCTTCTTCATTTTCCTCATGACATGTGTCATTCTCATTACACTTAAAACAATGTCATTAATGCATTATACAAGCTAACTTTTGCTTTCCAAGTTTACCCTATTCAATTGATTTATTTATTTATTTTGACAACTCTCTTACCATCTTAATAAATAAAAATTTTAAATTTTAACGTCAATTATTTTTTTGGTCTTTGCTTCTTGTTTGTACAGGTTTTGGCTCTCCTCCCTTTTGCCTTGGGTTGTTATAAATGTTTCTCTTCATGACCATTAAAAAATAATAAAAATAGAGTAGAGCAACATATTATAGCCGCTTGTATAATATGGATGGAGACCACTCTTTTGTTTTTTCTTTTGTTAATCTAAACTGCAATTTATTTATTTATTTCATATTGAATTCAGTTTTGATGATTTTTTATTCTTTTGCTTCTATATATTTTATCTCAAGCCTATGCTGTTGGGGGATATTTTGGTTTATTTAGTAGCATAAAAAACGCAATCAAGCAATTTCCTTTATAAAAAAAAAGTTAGTCTGTAAACTTTGTACCATTGAGGTGCTTACGGATGTGAATGATGTCTTTTATATATATAAAATAGAAAATTGACATTTCTTTTGTGTTAAAAAAAGAAGAAAAAAAGAAGAAGACGAAAGCAAACATTTTCTTTCAAAAAAATAACTTACGTTAAAATTTAAAAAAAAACTTTTTATTAAGATGGTAAGAGAGTTGTCAAAAAAAAAAATATAGATTAATTGAATAGGGTAAACTTGGAAAGCAAAAGTTAGCTTGTGTAATGCATTAATGACATTGTTTTAAGTGTAATGAGAATGACACATGTCATGTGGAAAATGGAGAAGGTCCAAAGGAGAAGGTTAGAGAGAAGGTTGCTAGCATTTCTCATTTTACAATACCCAAACTCTTTGCTTCAATTAATACTGTCTGAACTGCAAAAAGTTCATTTGTGTCGCTAAACACATGCGAATAAGATTTGTACTATCTTAACGAACCATCATTCTAATAAAATTATGATTTTTGTTACTCAACACTCGACACTCGTTCATATTCAAGAACGAGTGCCTCCGTAACGACTGACCCAAACATTGCTCGTAAAACCACATTCCACTTGTGTGGGACTCACCTCACAGTAATTTTCTCCCTTAATTGGTTGGAGAGAAATTGATGGGTCCAATTTCCAATTTCTAATTGTTGCCCCAAGTTGATATTGTGGGCCCACAATGCCAAGGGATGGGCTGTTTATTTTGTTAATGAATTGGCGCGTATTTTCTTGCAAATAGTTGGTTCTTGGTTGGCTCAAAATCGAGACGCCCTTTGGGAGAGCCAAGTTTCAATTTTATTTCAACCTCGTAGAAGCAAATCCATTTGAAGCCTCTGCTTTCTGCCCTGCTGCCTCTGCCACTCAAAGCCTCCAACTTTTTAAGCTTCCTCCTCCCCCACTAAACTCAATTCCAAGCTCTCTCTCTCTCTCTCTGTCACTCTCCAATGGAGGCTTCTTCTGCAACAACCATGGCTTTGAGAGTTTCCTCCTCCTCTTCTTCTTCTTCGTCTTCTTCCTTCTTCTCCATCTCCCCAAACCACAAGCCCAACTCACTCCCTTTGAAGTTCAGCACTTTCAGACCTCCTCAACCAACCCTCCTAAAATCTCTCAAATGCATCCAAACCCCGCCTTCCAATTCGAACCAATTAAAGCAGCCTCCCAAAAACCCTAGCCCTGCCTCCCCCTTCTCCTGCTCTGCCCTTACCCTCTCTTCCCCTCAAACCACCGAGCTCGTCCCCTGCAAGCTCCAAACTTTGATCTCTGAGTTTCAAGCTTTATCTGAGCCGATCGATAGAGTTAAGCGCTTATTGCACTACGCCACTCTCCTCCCTCCGTTCGACGATTCGGACCGGGTCGATTCGAACCGGGTCATGGGCTGCACGGCCCAGGTGTGGCTGGAGGCCAAGATGGACAAGGAGGGCAGGATGAGATTCTCGGCGGACAGCGATTCGGAGATTACCAAAGGGTTCTGCTCGTGCTTAGTCTCGGTGCTCGACGGCGCGTCGCCCGATGAGGTCTTGATGGTCAAGACTGACGACTTGTCGTCGCTGAATGTCGGCTTGCCGGGTGCACAGAGGTCTAGGGTTAATACTTGGCATAATGTGTTGGTCAGTATGCAGAAAAAGACCAAGGCTTTGGTCGCCGAGCAACAGGGTAGACCGCCGTTCGAGCAGTTCCCTTCGCTCGTCATCACCGCCGATGGGATTCACGCAAAGGGTAGCTTCGCTGAAGCCCAGGTTAGCATAATAGCCTGTGGTTCTTGTTGATTTTTATACCTTTATTGCTTAACAGAAGTAAGAGTTTTGTTATTTTTTATTTATTTATATTCTAAGTTGGATTTTGTATTGAATTGCAGGCGAGGTACTTGTTCCCTGATGAGTCTAAGGTTGAGGAACTTGTTAATGTGTTAAAAGAAAAGAAAATTGGCATTGTTGCGCATTTTTACATGGACCCGGAGGTCCAAGGTATATTAACTGCTGCACAGAAGCATTGGCCTCACATCCATATATCTGATTCTTTAGTCATGGCGGATTCAGCTGTGAATATGGCAAAAGCTGGTTGCGAATTCATTACAGTTTTGGGTGTTGATTTTATGTCCGAAAATGTCCGGGCTATTCTTGATCAGGCTGGCTTTGAAAAGGTAGTTCCTTGTCTCTGTTCATGGATTTGTCCTTAAGAAATGCAAAACGTGTTCTGTACTTGTTAAGGCTTTGATATCTCAAAGGTTCAATGCAATGCAGATTCTTCAACTGTACTGCTCTGTATCTATCTTAGTGCATGAGTTAAATGTAGTGTGCTTTATTTGTAGTAGAGTTAACTGGATTTTGGTTTGGTGCCAGATACTGGTGAAGCAGTTAATGGATTTATTCCTTTTCCATAATCTTTGATTGCAGGTTGGCGTCTACAGGATGTCAAATGAACGTATAGGTTGTTCTTTGGCAGATGCTGCATCTAGCCCTTCTTATATGAGTTATCTTGAGGCAGCTTCTAGGTCTCCTAATTCGTTGCATGTTGTCTACATTAACACTTCTCTAGAGACAAAAGCATATGCTCATGAGCTTGTGCCAACAATTACGTGTACTTCTTCAAATGTTGTACAAACCATTTTGCAGGTTGGTGGGATTACAACCTTTATCTCAATCGTATGTGAATTCTGCAATGTTTCTTGTTAAAAGATCAAACAGTATTGGCTTTTTATTCTTGCTATTGTACTTTCGTTAATGCCAAGTCCCTTATCTCTGCAGGCTTTTGTTCAAGTGCCTGATGCAAACATATGGTACGGACCTGATTCTTACATGGGTGCAAATATTAGAGAATTACTCCAGCAGATGACTAAGATGACGGATGAAGAAATTGCTGAGATACATCCAGAACATAATAGAGACTCAATCAGATCTTTGCTACCTCGCCTGCATTATTTTCAGGTATGTGTATTTTCATGGACTGTTCTAGAGTTGTGCATAATTCCTTTCAATTGAAGATAAGGGTAGCATAACAATTTTTATTCCTTTAGTTTTCTTTGCATTTTCTGATTTTGGTCATCATACTGCTTATTTTTTTATGATTATGAAAATTTCTGGCATCAGGATGGGACATGCATAGTACATCATTTATTTGGAAATGAAGTTGTGGACAGGATAAAAGAAATGTACTGTGATGCGTATCTAACTGCTCATTTCGAGGTCCCTGGAGAAATGTTTTCTTTGGCAATGGAAGCAAAGAGAAGAGGAATGGGGGTTGTGGGCTCTACCCAGAACATACTAGATTTCATAAAACAGAGGATTCAGGAGGCTTTGGATAGAAATGTCAATGAGCACCTTCAGTTTGTGTTAGGAACGGAATCTGGAATGGTGACTTCAATTGTCGCAGCAGTTCGTGGTTTGTTAGGTTCTGCAAGGTCTGGGGGAGCAGAGATTAATGTAGAAATTGTATTTCCAGTTTCATCTGAATCGGTGACAACATCATCAAATGCTTCCCCAGGCCTTAAATCTGTTACAGTGGGCAATGTCATACTTCCTGTTATACCTGGAGTTGCCAGTGGTGAGGGATGCTCCATTAATGGCGGCTGTGCATCCTGTCCATATATGAAGGTTAGTTGCCTTTTTCATGATTGGTTTTGATAAGTTCACGAAGGTTAACACATTCTGAAATATTCTAGCATGAAATCTGATATGATGGAGATAACTAGACTTTTATGAAAATAACCAGTCTATGCATGTCTCAGTATTTTTCTGCATGCATGTATGTTAAATTGGTTGTAGTCTGTAATACATCTCAAACTAATACCTGGCCTAGCGTAGCATTCAGGTCCCACATAACAGGGACATTTTTGCACAAGATCTTTTGTTCTAGTGATACATGATTTGTATGTCATAGAGTGACGTGACCATGAAAATGGATGAGAAAATTCTGGAAGATATCCCCTAAGTATTCTATTAGTAATATTGGTAGGATGTTCTATAAAAAGTACCTCTCATCTTTAGTTTAACTCTCAAAGGTTGCAAGAATAGCTAATGCCAGACGTCCTTGTGTTTTCTGATGTAACAGTTGGTCTTGGCAAGCCATAGTAGAAATTGAATAAATAGAAGTGGATGATTAGTTATTGTTCATTTTCCCTCAAGTTATATTTTCCTCTCACGTGTTTGATTGAGCTAAGGTTTCTCACATAGTATGTAATATAAAATGCCAGATGAATTCTCTCAGCTCCCTCCTGAAAGTTTGCCACCACCTGCCTGATGAGACGAATTTTGCTCTTTCCGCATATGAAGCTGGCCGATTCAAACTGCAAACCCCCAATGGAAAATCAGTTGCAGATGTTGGGTGCGAACCGATTTTGCACATGAGGCACTTCCAGGTTAGTTACTGAGAACAGTAAATATCTGTATACACAAGGAGCTTCTTGAGTTTTTAGACTCACCTCTTTGCGGATATCTTTTGCAGGCCTCTAAAAAACTGCCAGAGAAGCTTATTTCCCATATTCTTCATCCGTCTGGTAATGGGAGCTCATCGGTATTAAATTGAGTCAAGCTTGGCCACATGAAATCAGCCTGGATTAGCAAGGCAGATTCTGAATCCTGAGGAAGGCTTCCTTGAAGCAAAGCTTTCATTGCCAGAACTTTGTTGTGCCTTCTCTTCAATTTCTTTTTCATAAACGGGTCATTCTGTTTATCTAGTTTGATTGCTCACAACATAGTTCAGTGTTTATATCTATAGGAATGAAAGTTATAATAAAATTGTAACCCCAAAAAAAAGAGGTTATAATAACAGTGATTGTTATATTTAAACTGTATAGTTGTCAGAACAGTGACATTCTTGATTGATTAACATGGATTTTAGATTCCCCTGGTCCGGGGCAATGCTACGCAGCTAACAATTGTCATCTATGAGATTTGAATTCAGGACATTCTCCCACTAAATTAGAGAATATGTGTCGCGTGTATGTCGCTAAACCAAATTGGTTGATAGGTTGACACGGCCGTGCAATAAGATGAACCAGGCCCAAATGAGGTGAGGTTGTTCTGATACAAGACCTCACAAACGAACAATTATTTAATTTTTACTGTTGGAAATAATTGGTTATTTTATTGGCAAAATTACCTGACCACTGTTGGATTTTAGCTCACAAGAACAAGAGCGGTGAATTTTGGCGCTCATATTTACCCCACGTCTCTCAACCAACCCACCGTTTGTAAATGGCAATCTGGTAATTCTGCCACCAAATGAAGCCCGTAAAGAAAAACTAATTATTGGGCTGGGTCTTTATATATATAATTTTGATCAACACTATTATTTTAATAAATTTAAAAAAAAAAAACAATTCCCGTTGAATATTGAATTGAGTGTGAAGAGGAAATAGTGGGGTGCACATTGCGTAAGGCAACAAACCGAAATTCGAGTCCTTTTGGAACTCAACTCCCTCCTCTGGTTGAAGGCGGTGTCGTACTGGGTTGTCGTTTATATTACGATAATCGCTTCCCCGTCTCGTCCCTCAGACTCAGAATAAACGGAGAAGATAACCCCCAGTTTCTCCCACCGCAAAAACTCCCACCTGGTACGTTCATCTTCATTATTATAATTTGTTATATAAAGATTTTTCGGTTCTAATTACAAATCCCATTGTTCCAGTTCTTAATGCAATCCAAATATATTCTGGGATCTATGCAATTACAGTTGATTTATTTTTTACCCAATTACGCTTTTTTTTTTCTTTACCAGAATTGAGGATTGGTTTGTTTCGGGTTATAGTTGTTGACAATGTGTATGTTAATTCGAGCCTGAATTATGTTTGGTTTGTTCTGAAGCTATGAACTTTGTCATGGGAACATTCAAATTCTGGAAATTTAACAACCCAGAATGTGGACTTTGCATTTGAAACAAAAACTGAGGTTAGATGTAGTAAGGTTATACTCATATGCTTGATTTTTGGAGAGAGAAAATCTGGTTTCCATAGTCTGGTAGATACTAATTGTAATTCAATATGTTATTGGTCTTTTAATGTTTAAAGTTACTTTGCAACTTCCAAATTCGAGAAGGGAACACCATGGTCTTATTGGAAAATTGTTTGATGAATTTCTTTTGAGTGAGTCTGGATGCAACTAAACGGCCCTGAAAATTGTTTCTATATATGTTCGAGAATTTTTCAGATCCATTCTTTGGACTTAAAACTTGCCCTGTAGATGTTTCCCTTTATACATTGCTTCTGCTGGTGATTGTGGTTCCACCTTTAGCAGAGTGAGCAACCATAAAATGAATTGAATGAATGATTGTTGATTCTGAATTTAGTCTCATTAGTGGCAGGATAACAGCTAATTTAAGTCTTGTATTTTGACTGCACTTCAAAAGTACTCATGCTGCAATGAAATTGAACGATTTTTTTATACTGTCTCACAGGATTCTGCTGCACCTGCAAGCTACATGATGGGCTCCACAAATGGCTTAGCCAGTGCACAGGGGAAGCAACCTCTATTTTCGTTTGGGGTGATATCTGACGTCCAGTATGCTGATATTCCTGATGGCCGTTCTTTCCTTGGCGTTCCACGATATTATAGGCATAGCATTGTTGTACTGGAAAGGGCTGTCAAAAGATGGAATGATCAGAAGAGGCATAAATTTGTGATCAATTTTGGGGATATTGTTGATGGATTTTGCCCAAAAGACCAATCCCTGGATGCTGTAAGAAGAGTTATTGACAAATTTGAGGATTTTAATGGTCCTGTCTATCATATGATTGGTAATCACTGCCTCTATAATCTTCCCCGCACCAAATTACTTCCGTTGTTGAAGATTCCAAGCGTTGATGGTCGTGCATACTATGACTTTTCACCGACACCAGAATTCAGATTCGTTGTTTTGGATGGCTATGATATCAGTGCCATTGGTTGGCCTCAAGAACATCCAAATACAATAGAGGCTTTGAAATTCCTTGAGGAGAGGAATCCAAATACAGACAAGAACAGTCCAGCTGGCCTTGTAGGCCTCGAGAGAAGGTTCCTTATGTTCAATGGAGCAGTTGGAAAGGAACAATTGGAATGGTTAGACGACGTCCTCAAGGAAGCAACAAAGTTGAAACACAAAGTAGTGATTTGTTGCCATTTGCCTTTAGATCCTGGGTCATCAGCCAAAGAAGCACTTTTGTGGAACTATGACGAAGTCATGAGTGTGGTACACCGGTATAATTGCGTGAAAGTTTGCCTTGCCGGGCACGATCACAAAGGCGGCCACTCTGTTGATTCCCATGGAATCCACCATAGAGTTCTTGAAGCTGCCCTTGAGTGCCCTCCTGGGACAGATGCATATGGATATATCGACGTTTATGATGATAAACTTGAACTTACTGGTACTGACCGAATGAAGAGCACTGACATGCTATACAATCCTCAAGCAGACTTACAAGATAACTGGCATCAAGAAGCTTGTTAACAAATTCTTTTGAATTTGGTGTATGTTATTTGGAGATGTGTGATTATGCACAAGTCTTGAAAGGACTTGGCTCGAAATAGTTCCCTGCATATATTGGGGAGACCAGAAACTTCTCATGTTTTGTACTCCCATGAGAACGATATATACAAAATCATATTTGACTGTCATGACCATTTTGTTGCTTTGCATTTGTGTTCTGCGACACAATTCATGAATACTCGCGAGTGCACATATTTGTCTATGAAAGGTGAAATTTGCGTGAACTTAGCCCTGTAATGTAACTCAGAGTGCTATTATATTCTTCTTTTTGGTGTTAATATTGACTCTAAAAATTTGCTACTTTCACGAACGGGATCTAATAGCCCAATGAAAAAGAGCATTAACTTGCAAATTAGTGATTTCATATTCGAACTCATGGCACCTTGGTAGTGTGTGTGATAACTCCAATTTGCATATCGGTTCAGGAAAGTACTTTGGTTTCTGCTTCTCATTTGTCTGCATCATTAACATTCACTAAACATTGCATCAACTTTTACAAAAAGCTATTATTATAGATTTTTCTTTTTTCTTTTCCCACATAGACAATGCTTCCAATTTTCTGAAAACCAATTTCATCCTACCCATGTAACCCTTTCCACATTGCCAATTTGTCATTTCTACCTTCCAAACCACATTAAGCCCCACCATTTAATTACCTCTTAGTATTATATAAAACAGTACGATGAAAATAAAATACCAAAAACTAAATCATGCAAACTACTACACTCTTTTTTTTCTTTTTCTTTTTTCTTTTGGTCAACGCAAGGAAACTACTAAAGTCTGAGATTGACAGTTCATATTTTTCCCTTCACTTCTCGTGGGACGACTTTGCCTTTCTCTTCTCAGCAATAAAGAAACCAGCCAAGGACAAAACCGAGAAAGCACTGAAGCAAATGGACGCAATATCAAGGGACGCGTGGCGTCCACTGATTCCCTGGACAACAAACAAGTTGGTTGCCTTTTGAGCGTCTGTGGTTTGACCGTAAGCCACCTCAACATCAGCGGCGTCGTAAGCGTAGGCGCGTAGAAAATACGTGGCGGAAGGCACGTCGCGCTCGATGGTCCACTCGAAGCTCTGGTTCGAGCTGCTGTAGGGCCTAGCAACAACCTTGAACTGGCATGTCTTGTCCTTGGAGAGGCTGTCCACCGTCTTCCTCCACCCGCGGTCCACCTGGCTCACCGGCGCGTAGCAGAACTTCACCTTGATGGTCTTGTAGGTTGAGTCTGATCCAGCTGGGAAACTCTGGTTCAGACCCCACGAGACGGTGAGTTTGTCTATCCCTGTTTTGTAAACTGCAGAAATTTCATGAATTTTGATTAGTTTTGCATCAATCTGGTAAAGAAAATGAAAAATTAAAGAAACCCAGTTGAAAAGTTAGGATGTTGAACAAGAAAGTTGGAGACTTTGCGTGAATTACAATGAAAAGTAAAGGAAACCCAGTTTTAAAAACAAGATTTTGGACTAGAAAGTCGTAAAATTTTAATGGGAAATGTTTATATATACCCTGTCCTTCTTTGTGTGACGCAGTGACTATGAGAGTTTGTTTCAGAGACGAAAAGAGGACACCATGGGAGGTTTCTGCTAAGCAAGAGAGGAGAAGAAGAGACGCCAAAAGAATCCCAGTAGATGCCATCTGAGACTGAGACTACTTAATTGCAAATCACCAAAGCCAGAGAGAGAGAGAGTACAGGATTTGATTCTGAAGGTGATGATATTAACAGGCACCTGGGTTCTCTTTATATACAAGGCACAATGTTCAAAACCAAAATATTAAAAAAACTGAGAATGGGTTTAGCAGACGTATGCAGAAAAGGTCAAAAGGCCCAAATTGTATGCTGGCTTTTGTGAAATTAACGATCGAAAACATGCAGATATTTCTGGAAAACCGAGTAATAATTGTATGATGAGAATGGCAAAATGGCCCTAAAGTACACTGAAGGGGTAAGGGTTATGACCCTTATGGTGTCTGGTTATATTATTCAAAACAAGATTTTTTGGGATGGATGTGTTTGGGGTTTTGTTTATGGATTGACTTTCAGCAGTTTCAATTTTTTAACGCAGTTCTAGTTGTGGTGGACAAGACAAGATGGAGATATGGATGGTTTGGTGGCCCGATGTTCATTCTCTTTTTGTCCTTTAATGTCCTGCGAAGGGCAAACAAACGAGACACCAAGTAATTGGGATGCAACGAAGCTTTACGATTGTTGGAAAGATCCAAGCTGATCCCTAGATATTATTATATGATAAATATAATAGATTCTATTTTTATATGAATCTATCTACTTTCAAACTTCATACTGAACAGAGCTGTCAAGTGCTCCATCATATTCAAAACAAGTATTTTACACTAAAACTGTGCAAGCAAGTTATGTACAATTATTGAGAAGAGTCAACGAAGTAGCTCTCTAAATAGAAAGTCTACGCAAAATGCTTCACAATTGCCCAAAGTAAACTAGGAAAATAAATATCTTCGATCAAGCTACACAGCTATAGCATTTTCATATAGAAGGATTGGAAATTGCTATCAAATACCACTATTACGGTAGAAAAGTTCTCAAATGACATCATTCATTCCCGCAGTAAATAGTTTCAATATGTAGATTGCATCTCGATATATTATCTCATTATTTTGATAGCAAACAGTTCAAATAGTGTCGATATGACATAAACAAAGTATCTAAGTTCTAGGGATACTATTGATATTGTCCCATTAGTTTGATAGCAATAGTGTCAATATGACATAAACAAAGTATCAAAGTTCTAGTGATACTGTTGATATTGCCCATTTTCTACCATAATAATTCTATTTGAAAACTATAGTAAAGTAATGGTGATGTTCAAGGGCATCTCCTTAAAAGATGAACATATATTAGGGATTGAGCCTTGAGGGATGAGGCCCGCAGCCCAAATCAAGCAGGTGCTTGTGTATTGGTACTACCCATGAGTGAGTTTCATGGGCTAAAACATCCAAAGCCCTATGAATAATTAAATATCATGTATCATATCATGTATGTATCAAAAGCGAAGTGAAGACAAATATTACACTCACTCAGAAATACACATAGCAAAAGACAGACCGAAAAAATGCCGGCCAAATTTCCTCTTTTCCTAGGTTCTCTCTCCCTCTCTCTCCACATCTCCAATCCACGTTTTGTTCACAGTCCACATACATACACCCAAGAGACGAGAGAAGTCTTGGGAGACTGAGAAATTACGTAGCCATGGAGAAGAGAATATTCAGCAGAGAAAGCAGAAGCGGCCCCATGCTAACCATGCAGCACAACAAGCAGCCGCAGCCACTTATGGCAGAGGTCCAACGTCGTAACAAACCCCAGCAAGTAGCCGACCTCACTGACTTCATGAACGACATGTTTTTTGGCACCGTAAACGCCAAGTCCAAGTCCTATAACTTGACCGGAGACGACGTAGACGACGTAAACTACGAGGACGACGGCGACAGCCCAAGACCCACATCCGCCACTACTACTAACAGCAAAATGACTCAGGAATGGCTAGAAGAGGCCCGGCGCATTGTGGCCTCGTCCCCAACTCGGTGTGAATCGCCCTCTCGACTCGCTGCTGGCTCACCGCGCTTCGCAGCTCCCACGCAGGCCCCAAGATTGTCATTTTCTTCCTCCCTTGATCGCCGGGACCCACAATCTAGGTCCGCCCGAAGGTATAATAATATGCCCAATTCAATTAACTAATTTGTATTTGATTTAATCAAATGTGAAATCCTGAAATTACCCATCGTACAGGCACCGTGCGGCGGAGAGTTTTAGTGGCGAGATCCTATCCAAGTCAGCCAACAAGCACACCAGAAACAAATCTGACGTGTTGTTGTTGGAGGGGCCTACTTCGCCTGCATCACCAGCGGAATCATCGCCTGCATCGGCGGTCCACAAATGGTTTTCCAACATCCTCAAGCCCAACTCAAATCCTTCTCCGGCCCAGCAGCCCAAGGGCCAAACTGTGTCTCCCCGCCAGCCTGTCAACCGTAGGTCTCGGTTCCAAAATGACCCCTCCTCGCCTAGCCCACAGGGGATTCCGATCCCTTCTCGGCGGACTTTCCAAAGCCCGACACTTTTGCCGGATGCCAAGCCGCTGTCTCCGCCCAAAAACCTTGTCCCGTCAGCCCATCGTCGGTCCATATCGTCGTCCACTTGCTCCAATGGGAAGGGTGTGCCAAAGCCCAGTGTAATTGGGTGGCCCAAAGATGAAGCCCAAGTCCAAACCCAAAACCAAGACATTGATCTTAATGGGTTTCTCAAAGAGCAAAGGACTAAGGTTGAGAAAGTGTTGGATGGTCAAGTTAACGCCAAGGCTAAAATAGTACTTTCCGACCCCTCCAATAGTAAGTATGCCTTATCATATTCTTGGACATTAGTGAACCGCATAATGTGACATGTAATGTGTTAGTTATCAATAATTGATGTAATAAGTGAATCTCACTTGTAACGCGCATAAAATGGTTCACTAGGGTTTAGTTCACAAATTGATTATCACAGTTCTTTATAAAACAAGTAATGTGTAAGCCATATTCTATTGGAAATGTAGGCACAAGTACAATGGCAGCAGCAATATGTTATGCATGGTTACTTGAGAACAGGGTGAGGAAGGACAACAAGAGCAAAGGGAATGGGGAGGAGGAGTATGTGGTGGTTCCTGTGATGAATGTGAAGAGAGGGAGCATGTGGAAGCAAAGAGATGCTGCTTGGCTATTTCACCATGTTGGCCTTGATGCCACTTCATTGCTCTTTGCTGATGAGGTACTTCAAATCCCATATGCTTTCTCTGCAATGCTATAGTTGGTAACAAATATTTTGCATAGTATTTTGGGGTTTCTGTCTATATTTTATCCTCCTTTGGCATTGTAGCCAAATGCTATAAGTTGGTTGGTTTTGTTGATGCAATCTGGTGTTAGGTGGACTTGGAGAGTCTCATGATGGCTGGGAAATTAAACATCCTTGTCATCGGGCAAGACGTTTTGACGAATAATGGGGAGGTAATTGGTGCAGATATGCAGTAAATTTTGGTAGTACAAGAACAGTTATAACGATTATGCATAGACATCACTTAGCTGATTGAAGTGTGTTGTTTACCTGTCTTTTATAGGTTGGATCACAGTGCACCATTCTTACAGATAATTACTGTGAAGATGCCTATGATCTACTTGAAAACCCTTTGCTCAAGAAACTTTTGGTAAATCACGTAACTCTTTCAGGAAAAGAATAAAAGAAGCAGCATTTTTTTTTTTCCTTGTTTGATTAGGATTTTGAGGGATTTCTTGTGTTGCAGCTTGCAGGTATATTGTTAGACACTCAAAATTTGAAAGCATCTCCTCAATTGTCTATGACAAGAGATGCAGAGGCAGTCCAGTTGCTATTAGTTGGCTTACCGTCCAATTACAGGAATTCCCTTTTCGATCAACGTATGTGCTTCTATTTTTGTCTCTGGATCTTCAATGACATTGTATTTCTTAGATACGTCTAGTAAATTGTAACAATCCATTTTTTTCGGTTCTCTATCAGTGACACAAGATCAAAGAGACAATTCCTTTCTTGAAGCTTTGCGGCAAAGTTATGGGAAGCCTCCTAATGAAAGTAGGTTACTATGCATGAAAAATGAGCATTGTCATTGAAACCCCTTGGTTTTTGTTCTATTGCTTTGTTGGCTTTTAGAACCATGAAAGTAGTTTTTAATGACTTTCTCAATGGTTTCACATTAGGGTTATGATCCTTGTCAGCCTTTAACACTTCTTGTGATGATTTCAGGTGGTGATGATAACAGAGAACATGATGAGCAGAAGGTTTCAGAAAGGAAATCAACCTCTATTTCTAGCCACGAAGCCCTCGTCCAAAATCCAGTCAAGAGTTCTAATGATGCAAGAAATGCAAAAAAGGCTTCACCAAAATCAGGTTAGACTGCACTATATTCCCTACGGCTTTTTACACATTCACTTATTCATTACCCTTGTAAAAGTTTTAAACTCTTACTTTTCCCTTGATGCCTAAAGCTTTGACATCTTTTCCCTTGTAGCTAAACCGAGTTCTGCAGCTGTCCAAACCCCTTCACCTGATGCCTCCCGCGGAAAGAATAAGTTCTTCCTGGCAAAGTGGTTTGGTTTTAAATGAGGACAAAAATCTGGGGCATTTTGTTCATTGTAAATTCATATAGAAGAACCTGAATTTGATAACATGTTAGAAGAAAAAACTGAAACCGTCTTTAAGATATCTGCCAGTTTCAACAGACGGGCGAGATTGGTTCGGGTAAACTATTTCTGTTTGTGCTTGGAAGAGGAAAGATTTGAAACTAGGACCCATAATTTAGTAAGAAGAGGGAATGTAAAATGCCTTTGTGGCCTATTGTATTGTTACTTTTGTCTCAGACAATAATGGTTCAAGTTGCAAAAAGTTTTAGCTTTTGCTTATATGACAGTGTTTTTGAGAGGTCATTGTTGTTCTTGTACATGATGACGATGCTGACATGCATTTTGAGTATCTTATTTTCTACGACCAAATTTCTTTGTTTGTGTCCCTTCACAAGAACTGTCTGCCTGCTGTAAATGTGTGGTAAAAGTGGATGCTGATGTTGAGTTCAATCCATACTGTCATTTAAAAATCTCCGGGTAAAAGCTAAAATTTATTTGCTGTCATTCTTGGTTTGTGATAATGCCATTTGAAAGTTTTGAATATGCTCCTTCATATGCTATCCAAAGCAATGAAATGATAAGCTCTTGGATAAAAAGCAGAAAATTCATTATGAACTGCAACAGAAGGACCTGAGTTGGCAGTCAAAATGGAATAACCTGAATAGTTGAAGCCATCCAATCAAATCTTTTTCCAAAAGTGGAAAGAAAGTTTTTGCCTTTCGACCTTATTTTTCCTCTTCAATCTAATTTTCCATTTTTTCCCCCTTTCATATTTGAGGTCAAAAACCATGAAAAGTAAGGACACAGAAAAATGAAAATTTATGTACTGAAGGCTGAAACTCGGTAAACTTCAGAGTAGTAGAATGAAAATTACCCAATTATATATTCATATGTGGTGTACATACATGGTCTTGCATTAGTGATTCAATCATCATCAACAATTCCTCCTCTCTGTCACATGTAACAAAATTTTATGCCAGATACAAACATTCAGTACCCTTTGAACATATTGGTCTATATTTCTTTTATATAAAACTTTGGAGACATCACATACATGTTGGTAGAAAAAGAAAAAAAAAGAAGAAGAGTTTGAAATTTGCTCAATTATCAAGATCAGATCAAGAAAGAGGACAGAGAATTTGTATAAAAATAGGTGGAGATGCCTCTAGATGGGGAATTATTGGGCATGTAAGTGATACCATCTGTCTTGTCCAATTGTGCCAATTTGTTCAACCCCAGCTGTAACTAACTTCTTCCATCCAACCCCTCTCTTGGGCCCCACCTCTTCCCTTCTCAATCCAAACCTCTCACTCACAAATCCAATCTGCATCTACATCATTCCATGCTGTCCCCATTCCTTGCTCGGGCCCCAATTCATTTTCCAGCCTCATTCTTCTGCTGCTGATGATGATGATGAAACTACCAGTCTACCATATTTGATATGTTGTTTCTCATTCAACCTTCCAGGCATAGAGAAACAAGCAAAACTCAGATGATCCACTTGCATTAAGCCCTTCTACTGACCCTAAACTGGTCTGGGATGACAATGGAGTGGATGACAGGGAAGAAAATGGTGGTGAGGAGGATGATGACCTGGACAGTGGTGAGAGAGATGTACTGGAAGGCAAAACTGGCTTGAAAATAAACAATGCATGCCTCAAACCAGGACTAAAAAGCCAGTCATGGACATCCCAATAAACCTCAATTCTTAACTTGTTGATATGAATGGACTCATTACCTCTGAATTTCCACTGAAGGTGCTTAACATGAACCACCAAATGCCCATCTACCCTAATCTCCAATTCTGGCTCAACCCCATTTAATGAATTGCCATTGCTGATGCTCCCAGCTCTGTTCTTACACTCAATTGCAATTTCATGAAGCCTGCCTCTCTCATAAAACTTGGCTTTTGTGGAGAACTTTTTCTTGCCGAAGATGTGTTCTTTTTTAGAAACCAAAGTGGGATCAATCAGAGCAGGCCTGTACCCTGTCTTCCTATATGCATCTTTCTTGAGATCACCGAGAAGCAACACAACCTCTTCATCACAAACAACTGCTACATAATACTCTGACTTGGGCTCTGTCCCACCATTGAATTTTGCAGACTTGAGGTCCCAGAAGATGTCAACTGCTTTGCCATCAACTACAAAGCGCTTGGAGCCTTGTTTTCTCCAAAAGTACCATGGCTTGAGCTCAACTTTGCAGGTCTGCTGGTTTTCTCCATCTGGGCCTTCAAGAGATACAGATAGGCCATGGAGCAACAAGTTCTTGCACCATGTGATTGTGATCAAGCGGCACTGATCAGCAATCTTGGCTCTGTACACAGACATGTAAACACTGTGGCCTGACCTAGTTACAGCTGAAGCATCGTCACTCAGCTTCTCACTTGATGAAAAGCAAGCAGGGATGCCAATATGGTCTTGCATACTTTTGTTAGTGATCAAAAACTAGTTAATAGGCAAAACCCAGTTTGCAAAAACAATACCTGCTAGATGAGGAACAAATTGGAGAGAAGTTGGATTGTGAAGAGGGAATTTTTAACATGGGGTGAGTGAGAGATCATAGTCACAAGATGTGTTGGGTCACCAGATGCTGCCAGAGGTGTGTTTGGCAGCAGTAATGGAATTAAAAAATTGATCTCCAAACTGGCAGATAGACTGGCATTGAATAAGAGCGAGTGTAGAACCACCCTTTTATATTCTATTATATCTGCACCACTGCTAACCTCTCTTACCTGGATTCTATTTTATTTGTTTGTTATTTTTTTTTTCCCTCCTTTGCTTCACTTTATTTTATTTTTATCACATAATATTTTTTTAATATCCCTTTTAGCAAGGACAACTGGATTGAATCCGAGGTGGTTTTGCTTCTGCTACACTTTAAATTACTTATACAAGGCCATTTGTTCACCAGATTTGTTCAAAAGATGACCAAACCAGTCAAAAACTATAAGTCTAAAATAAACGTGAAGGTGGAAGAGTTTGCGTTGGGTTTGGTTTTCTAATGTGGGTTTTGTTGACTGTTTATTATTTGAATATCATGTTCATAAAGTTTTCCGTGTGGGAGATGTAACTTTTCAACTTTGTGTTCAAAGATGTGTAGGAGAGGAATCTAGGGGGAGGCGACAATTGCTGAGAAGGGAAAAAAAAAGTCTTGAGGAATCTATTGTTTGTAGCTGTTGCAGATCTGGTCCAGCCTCTCCTCCTTGTAATGCAGCATCATAGGTGCTCACTATTGGTTGCATAATGCTAGATAATATTCCTCTATCTCTTTAATTAGGAAATAAGATGAAACAAAACGTAGTAGGTATATGGGGCAAGAATTTAGACGGTGTAATTCAGGTAATACTCTAAAATTCTTTGAATTAATCTAATTTACGGGTATAGAGATTCAAATTTGAGTACTAAGATACGAGATTACTTTCATGCTAACTGGCATCTGGTAATTGTCCCTTTCCTAGACAATATTTGTTGTTAAGTATGAGATATAAGATGAAAATGGAATGAAAGAAATGGATATAAGATAGAAACATTACAATTAACTTTTGATTTGGTATGTTAATGAAAAGGGTTAGTCCTCATTTTGGGCAAAGTCTAGTATTGGGCCTAACCAAATTGTTAGATACAAATTTTATACAAGCATCTGGCCCAAATGGGAGCCCTAATGCATTGAAGAAATTGAGGTCATTTTCGTCCATCTATCTTGAGCATAAACCCCAATTCCCAAACGATCGCGGGTTTTTGGTATTGTCACTGAGGAAGACCTGGAACTCACCGATCCTCTCTTTCCGTTTGGTTCTCTAGAAACCCAAAAGAAAATTCACTATATTTTCTTGTTGTCCCACTTCATTTTCTCAGTAACCAAATAGAACATTTGATTGCAGACTCGCTTTGTAAAAATGCAGTCTTTAAGTGCGAGCATCCGATTGGTCCAAAGGCAAAGAATCGACAGCTCAAAAATTGCTCATTTCAGATCAGTTGGAGCTTACCCATTAAGCAGTGGTTCTGGGTTCAGCTCGTTGGCTTCGGATGGCTCGGCCTCTGCCAAGATATTTGAGAGTTCATTGGGGTTTGGGTCTTCCAAAGGTTCCTTATTTCAGTCTCTCTCCAAGTTCCCTTATCGATCTTCGGCCTCATTCGTATGTTTCGAGTCGTTATACTCTCTCTGATAGTATTTTAAACATGCTTATTAGTTCTTTATTTTAAAGAATATACTTTGAACATGTTTGTAGCTGCGAATTTTAGTTTGAATATGTTTATACTTGTGAATTTTACTTTGAATGTGTATGTAATTGTGACTTTAGCCCTTTAGAAAAAATATATTCTTTGTTTTCTGATGAACTTTTTTATAGCTGGCTACATTTGGATAGAGCATTTTATATAAATGAATGGCTTGCTGTTGATTCAGTTAAAAAAGAAGAAGTTGTTTTTTAATGGTACTTGATGCACTGAAGCAATTGAAGCTGAGAGGTCATTCTGCATTTTACTTTTCATAATTTGGAATGTCAATTGGCAGTGTTCACCAAGGTCTTAAGTCATAACCTTCTTATGTTATATAGTGTAGAATTCATCTGAAGAGCAATTCATAGTCTCTCTTTCCAAATATAGACACTTTTATGACACTTGTAGCATTATTCTACCAGACTACAAGGGGCTTTCAAACTGAGACATCAACGTCCTCGAGTAAGTCCATGTTATTCAAGAGTCCTCGACCAGGCTTACTTCCACGGGAGACAGTTTCACCTCCTTTCCCCAGCAGGTGCGTTACAACAGGGGTAAATCCTGTTGAATCGGCTACTCAAGATTCAACGATGCCTGGATCTGACGTAGCTCCCCGCATCAAATTCAAGAGGCTTGATAAAACTGCCAAGCACATAATGCAGGTATGCATCTATCTGTTGGTATTCATGACAAGAAATAGCGTATGTTGTCTTCCTGTTATTATATTTGTTGATTTTGTATTTCACAGATTCTAGACAAGGAAGCTCTAGAGGAAGTGAAGGTGCAGAGAGAAATACCGGAAATAAAGCCTGGTTATATTGTGCAACTCAGAGTGGTATGATGTGTTCTCATTTAGAAGATGGTGTTATAATGTTCTTTGTGTTACGGAGGGAATTTTAGGAGATTAAGTCTATATATTCTTTCTCAATGATTCTCCATATGTAAACAGGAAGTACCCGACAATAAGCGACGTGTTTCAATCTTGAAAGGCACTGTGATAGCAAGACGCAATGCTGGTCTGAACACTACAATTAGAATCAGGAGGCTCGTGTCTGGGGTTGGGGTTGAATCTCTCCTTCCACTGTAAGAAGTTCTGTTCATTTCTCATAATTATATATGGCCCTAGTCTGTATTATCTTTGACTCATTGCTTTAAGTTGGAAAGAAAACCATCTTTAGCTGGATGCCCAGGAAGCAGGGTGTATTAAATTGTTACCCTAATAGGTTGTTAATTCTCAACTCTAATTATATGGATATTTTGTACAACATTGTACGTACAGTTTTCACTAAATTTGTTGAAAATTATTCTCTAGAATAGTTATTTGTTGATTGTGTAATAACATGGTTATTGAAAATGTTGGAGTGTAGAAAGTTACAGAATGATATGATTAAAATTATGTATCAGTTACTTAGGATTATTTTCCCACTGATGAATGTACTCTAAAGCCAAGAACTAATCATGTTCAGTAATAGATGGAATTTTTCAAAACAGAAACATTGAGTTCTATCTTCTGAGAAACAGCAAACACTGCCAATCACAAGTTCCGGTGTTCATGCCTGTGACATTGATATGCGAAAACTTCAACTGAAATTTTAGATTTTAAGCGTTTTATCACTTAAATTACTATTTTGAGGTGAAACAGATGATTACTTGGTATGAAAACTGATTTCTGAATATTTTTTTTTTGGGTGGAGTCCTCATATCTGTGAGGTTTGCCGGTTCTTATCATTTGTTTCATGTAAGTATATAATGCTCTCAGTCTCTACACATGACCAAAGAAGTGGATAATGTATGGCAGGTATTCCCCTAACATAAAGGAGATAAAGGTGCTGGACAAGAAGAGAGTGCGGAGGGCCAAGCTGTACTATATCAGGGACAAAATGAATGCACTTAAGAAGTAATAGTAGTAATATATATGGCTGGCTAGTGAGATAAAAAAAAAATGGTTCCCTGACAAAGATGGAGTCCATGTATGACTGAGTTCAGAAATCCAGCAAAATTTTGGTGATTTCTTTTCCTGAATGTTTGCTTTCTTTGATCATGTTATTAGTTTGTGAGTCTTCAGCAAGTCTTTGAGAATCTGAGATGCCTGGTAGATGTTAGGGTTCAACTGAATACCGGGAAATTTACCGGAATTGCTACTTTACGATGTTAAAATTATGCACTCAGGTTGAAGAATGCTATCAAGTGGCATAAATGTGATTGTTACTCAAGTATACTATTTTCTTCAACACCCTCGCACATGTTTGGATTATATGTTGTCCAGAATTCTGGGTTTGCATACAATAAGTCTGGCCATGGAAGATTAAATGTGGCAGCAGTGTAATATTATTTTACTTTGCATGATTGCATTATTTTTTAAATAATTAATGAATAATATTATGGCAGACATAGTGGTTGGTGTGGTTGTAGATGTACAACTAAAATGCTTCCCATAATGGACAGCAGCACCAAGCCACCAAGCCACCAAGCACCAAGCACCAAGCACCAAGCACCAACCTTTCTGAAATAGCAATACCAATAATCTTTTTTGTTTTTCTCTTTTCTGTTTTCTTACAATCTGGTTTGATGGTTCATGTAAAAATATGTCAAGTTGTCAACTAGTGCAAGAGTTCTCATGGGGAGGTATGCTATGTTAATATATTTTTAATAACACTTTTAAGAGTTTATTATTCTAATTCCTTCCTTGGTCAAACTGTGCATGTTTTCTTTATGTATTTTCTTACAATTATGGATAAGAATATATACTGCTGTTGCATGACACGTCTCTAAAACCTAGTGTCAATTTGGAGAAAAACTTTCATGAAACGAGAATATTACTATTTTATTATCCAAACTTTCATAGAGCTATTTATGTTGCAACTATTTCTACTATTTAAAAAGCTTATTTTCATGGTGAAATTAGAAATTAAAAAAAATCGTTGCTGTTTAAAAGATTTTTCATGAAAATTATTTTATAATCTAACATGACGAAAATTATTAATAAATTATAGTATAATTAATTGCCCACTTAAATATCGTGGAATAAAAGATCGACAACCCCAAATAGTAGTCTATCCGGATGTGTCACATCATTATGAATGGTAGATCCTTTTTGGTGTTGACCCACAACAATAGACTGGATTAATGATTACGTAGTTTCTTTAGGTTCTTTATTTGTAAATTACAATTTATATATATATATATGTGTGTATATGCAAAAAAATAATTTATTTAAAAAATTTGTAACTTTGGATTTGTGTGGCCAATAGAATGATATTTATTTATTTATTGGTGTAAGGAGTGGGCTAACTGTCACGGTCAACTTATCCACATGAGCGATAGAAATAATTATTTTTTGTGAATGAAATTAATATGTCTACTTTTTTCCTTTTATGTAGTATTTTGTAAGCTTACTATAAAACCTCTTTTATAAGCAAAGCACTTTATATTTCTTCAATTTTTAATTTTAAATGACCTATACAATATGTCTATTTCCGTAATTCATAATGATATTTTTTTTTAATGTTAATGAAACTAAATATTAACCCAAAAAAAATAATCTATCAGTAGAATTTAGAATTTAATTGTTGGTAGGAAAATTGTAGAATTTAATCCGATCATATTCTAAAGTTTTTCAGCCGTTGGATCCTGATTAGGAAGAATCTACGTTGGAAGATCCAAAGATCCCTAATAGCAATTTAAGGTGCGGAAGTAAGCTGAAGAAACGCGCGTAGCACATTTACTCTCGCATGACCCCAAGGCCGACCTTAGAAAAAAAAAAAAATCAAAATTAAATAAATAAATTTAAAGCCGAGAGAGACGACGCTCAGTTGTTTGTTGTTCATTTGCTGTGTCTCCGCCAATCCAACGGCTTCTCTCCTCCCTTCTCACTTCCGCAAACGCACGCTTCTCTGTCTTCTTCTTCTTCATACTTCAAACCTCCGACTTCGGGTTCCTTTTTCGCGGGTTTGAATTTGGGTCGGCTCAATATTTGATTCGGCCCCTAACGACAAAATTGAGGTTTCGGGTCGATCCGAATACGATCATTTTTGCGTTTCTGAATTCGATTTGATTGGAAGACGAACGAGTTCTCGAGAATGCCACAGGATTTGTCGTCGGACCAAGACACGGACGATGCTGATGCCGAGTTTGTGGAGGTTGATCCCACTGGTCGATACGGTCGGGTCAGTAGTCGTTACTTAAATTACTCTCCTTTTTCCTTTTTCCATTTATTTCCTTCTTTTTATTTGTTTGGTATGGTGATCATTGATTTGATTTAGCTGCTCCACTCTCATTTGTTTTGAAATTTCTCAATGCTCTCAAGTCTTAAGCTTTTGTTCATCAAGTTGTCATTTGGGTTGATTTGTTGGTTCTGTGTATCAGTAATCAATTCTCTTTGTTTTTGGTCATTTGCAGTATAAAGAGATTCTAGGAAAAGGGGCTTTCAAGAAAGTGTATCCTTTCCCTCTTCTTTTTTATTTTTCAGTTGTTTTAGATTTTTAGTTGGATGCTAAATGCTGTTTGAACCATTGTTAGTTAATATTCTGTTGAGGTCCAAGTGCGTTGTAGATCTTTTTTGTGTGTCCTTGATCGATATGGAAACTTAGATATCGAGCATTTGATGAATTGGAAGGAATAGAAGTAGCTTGGAATCAGGTTAAAGTGGCAGATCTATTACGCAACTCTGAGGATTTAGAGCGGCTTTATTCAGAAGTTCATTTGCTTAAGACTTTAAAGCACAAGAACATAATTAAGTTTTACAATTCGTGGGTCGATTCCAAGCATGAGAATATCAACTTTATTACGGAGATCTTCACTTCAGGAACATTGCGGCAGTGAGTTTTCAATCATCTATTGTCTGTAACATTCAATATTTGTAATTTATTTATGCTTTTGTTTAGTGTTTTAGTGTCTATTACAATGTAGATACCGGAGAAAGCATAAGCATGTTGATTTGAGGGCGTTGAAGAAATGGTCTAGGCAGATTTTAGAAGGCCTTTGGTATCTTCATAATCATGACCCCCCTGTTATCCATCGAGATTTGAAGTGTGACAACATTTTTGTCAATGGGAACCAAGGTGAGGTGAAAATTGGTGACTTAGGACTGGCTGCTATTCTTCGCCAGGCTCGCTCAGCTCATAGTGTTATCGGTGAGGATTTATAAATAAAATTGTCATCTATGTTTTCCTTCTGCAATGGTGCTAGTGCAGAATATTTGGATTCAGAGCTGACAATGTAATTGTATCTGTCACTTTAGGTACTCCGGAGTTTATGGCGCCAGAGCTTTATGAAGAGGAATACAATGAGCTAGTAGACATTTATGCCTTTGGCATGTGCTTGTTAGAATTGGTGACCTTTGAGTATCCATATGTTGAATGTACCAATGCTGCTCAAATATTCAAGAAAGTGACATCAGTAAAGGCTTCATGACCATTACCCCGTTTAAATTGATACACAGTTTCTATTGTTCCGTTAAATTTGTTGTTGGTTTGTTTTTGCTATCATAATTGAGAGCATTTCTCGTCCTTGAAACTTATATCATTTTGAAAGTTTCAACATGTGCAATCACCGGATCTGTCAGACTCTCAATTGTTGTAGATAATGTAATTTTTCCATATGTGATGCATCATTCATTTCTTTTGATTGCGATGAATGATTCGTCTCTTTTGATTTTGTCATGCATGGTTCAGTTGTTTTGCTAGTCTCACTAGACCTACTATTTGGCTTAAATTGTAGTGGATTTTGAAGCGCTGGGATTAAAAATTCATTCAGTATTGTGAATTTTTATACATTTAAAGTGTTGGGGTAGTTTCATACATGTACATTCAGTCTGCAAATTTTTCTACACTAGTGTGTCAAATTTCAGTTGTCGAAAATGTATGTAATTTCCCATTTGGCTTTTTTATATGAGTTAATGCTTGAAATTCTAGGGATAATTATACAAACAACCCTGAAAGGTTGCAATTATAGGAATTCGAACTCAACATTGCTTATTCTAGGATCAGCTTAAGTTTTGTTAGTTTGCCACTGTAAGTTGTTAGGATTGTGGCCAACGCTTATTTTATATTCTAACATGGTCCTTATATCATTTCCTCTTCCGCTTGGGTAGGGAATAAAGCCAGCATCATTGGCGAAAGTGACAGATCCCGGAGTTAAAGCATTTATAGAAAAGTGCATTACGAAAGTCTCTGATCGTTTGTCTGCCAAGGAACTTCTTATTGATCCTTTTCTCCAATCTGATCAGGATCGTGAAAGTACATCTCGTTCTCGACAACCCGAAACTCATTATTCAGGTAAGCAAGTTGTTTCTCTAGAGCTTAAAGGCTTTTTATCTTATTCTCCTCACATTGGGACATGTTAGATGCAGAAGGCAGTTCTGGTCAGATTGATATTGGACCAAAGGATATGGACCCTTCTCTTGAGACAAATAAAGACTTCACTGTGCAAGGCCAGAGGAAAGACGACACAATTTTTCTGAAACTACGAATAGCAGATTCGACAGGTTACCTTTTCTTTCTTTTCCATTTTATTTAATTTTCAGTCAAAGAAGTATTTTTTTAATTCCGGTTCCTGCTCTTAAATTGAGATATTTTCCACCTGGCCCCAGGTCACTTTCGAAATATCCACTTCCCATTTGACATTGGGGCAGATACTGCAATTGCTGTTGCTAGTGAAATGGTTCAAGAGTTGGACCTAACAGATCAAGATGTCACAACAATTGCTGAAATTATTGACGCTGAAATCCAATCCCACATTCCAGATTGGACATCCAGTGAAATTTCTGGAGATAATATTGATGGTGAGGTCTCAACTCCATATAGTCCAGTTTCTGAGTCTAAGGATGATGCTTCTGCCTTGGTACATGAGGCCGTCCTTTCTAGTAATCTTGCATTAGAAAGATTGCCTTCAGGTCGCAAGTACTGGTCTGACTCACCCAAGGAAGGTAGTGGAAATTCTCCAGGTAAGCATGGGTTTTCGAACTTGCATTCTCCAGCAGATTCGGTCATTGCAGGAGGTACTGAAGACAATGAAAATTCTCCTGGTAGCCATAGAGAGGAAGACGATCCAAACGGCAGAGGTGCCTCTGATTCACCAAATGGTGGTACTGAGGATGATGAAAAATCTCCTGGTAGCCTTAGAGAGGAAGATGATCCAACTTGTGCTGGTGCCTCTGATTCACCAAATGGTGGTGGTCATAGTGCAGCTACTGATCTACATGTTATTAATGGAGCTCATCCATTTGAATCAGAAGAAGTCAAGATCATTGCCGAG